CTCTGTATGGTATTTGTGCACTGCAGAACAACAACTACTAACAAAAATTTATGAGACTATCTTGTAAAGGAGTGAGGTAAATGCCATTTCTCAGGATCAAAATTGCTTTTATTCTCTACCATCCATTTTATTTTATAGGTCTAATTTCTTAACACCCTGTATAACAGGTAAAAACAAACATATTCAAATTTTGAAATTTGTATTTTTGATTGTTTATTCCAATTTTATAATTATAAAATTCCTTCTTTGTAGTTAGCACTATAATCAGTAAATGTTGTTATTTGTAATGGTTCAATTTTTAAATTATCACATGGATGCCTAACACTTTCTGTATTAAACTTCCTTATACAGGAAATCCTCATTAATTCAAACTATCAGTTTGAAATACCATTAGTTCATAACTATACTTTTGTCCTGACCATGGATAGGGACATTTACATGTTAAGAAATTCAGTTAGTTCAAAATATGACCACTCTGAAACTTGAAGTGAAAATTCTGTTCAAACTGTGATATGCCTATTTAAACTTGTTCATTTAGATCGAAGTACCTCCATGCTATAAGAGAACAATAGGCCAACAAAAATCATAATCTGTTTAATATGACTTTGCTTTTATAGTGAAACATTTTTGGGTACCACCTTACCCATGAAACACCTTTTTTCTCTTATCTCATAAAACACAGCTGGTTTTTGGGATTGCAAGATTGGGTTACAAGTAGCAGATTGAGATGTTTGTAGGGCTGTAGGCTACTACATTTGGGAAACTTACTACTTTTTGGGTCACTTTAAAAATAATTTGGGCAAAATTTTGAGGAATTCTGCTTTATCATCTGGCAACCTGCAAGGTTCTCAAATGTGCTATTTGCCTTCACATTTATATTATTACTGTTTAACAAAAACAGTGTTCATTGTATGTATCGTATTCAGTTTGCTTAAAAAATTACATCAGTTATGTGGCATTTGGGATGGTACACAGAATTATGTAAACCTTGGATAATTCAAAACTCAATAATTTGAAACCCAGATTATTTCATCCCTTTAATTTTGAACTAATGAGGATTTCCTGTAAATATTTACAAGTTATACTTCTATTTTTTTCTAGAACATTACATACAAAATTTCAGAAATTTTCAATTCTTTTCTGATAATTATCCTATCAGATTTCCTTATGTTTGAATCACAAACTACCTTTTTTACTAAATGTATTCAGCTTTTAAAATAAAAAATTGCTTCAGTACAGTTTTGTTTCTCAATAATTGTTCCCACAATGACTGTCCATAATATTTTATGGTATTTGTGAAACAAACAAATTATTATTATTAAATTTTTCATCAAATTACTAGACCGTATATTTCTCTGTCTTATTTAGATATTTAGTATGTATGTGTGAAGAGGGGGAAGATAGATAGATAGAGAGAGAGAGAGAGAGAGAAAGAAAGAAAAAACATAAAGCATGTATATATATATAAACATATTCACAAAAAAATTTTTTATGATAATCATCTGATATATATATAATATAAGCTTTATTATATTTATTGCATCATCTATGATAAAAGGTTTAAGTTTAATGAATTACAAAAAAAGTTTCCGAGAAATGTCATTTTACATATTGTTTATAATCATTAAGAAGCACACAAAAAGGTAACACTAATATCTCTCAGTAAAACGTTGATAAATATTTTCGACCTCTTTCTATAAGTATCTGAGATGAAATAACTGCAAATAATTCATGATTCAGATTTCAGAACTGTAAATTTTCATTTTCTGAAGGAAAAAATATTGTAATGATTGGTGAAATTCAAAAGTAGGAATGATGATGTAAATCATTGATTCCTTAAGTTTACCAACTTAAAAATAAAAACAATGACTGTTACTATAATTTTTCTAAATTACTTCCTATAAAAACTTCTCAGAATAAATACAGCAGCATCTACACTTATTTTTCTAAAAACAATCTCATCACCTGCAATTTGCATGAATAAAATTTTATTATTCTGCTAGAGAACAAACTCAACAAATAATTTCAAATAGTTTTTTTTATAAACTAAAAGTTAGTACATCAAACATATTATGAAGACATTTTTAACGTATATATAGATATTAAAAAAAAATATATATATAAATCAACATTATTTTCTTGCTTAAGTGACTTCACATATCAATTTTTCATAAAATTTAACATAAATAAAAAAATCTTTTTGGAAAATTTACCTTATAAGGATTTAACTAAGTCATATAAATATATGTAGCATAATTATCACAAAAAATAATAAAGTAGCAGAACAAACTACAATAAAAAAAACAAAAAACACACAACAAAAGAAATCTTGAAAATTTAGGAAAACACTGCAAAAATTCAAGCTTTATACACATTTTATCGTGCAATATAAATTAGGAAATCAACACTATACATGGGGCCTCCTAATTAAAATTTGCCCAAATTTAAAGGTAACACGTAGCCAGCCCCCCTGACGAGGCACGAACCAACGAGCGAACTTCCAATGTATAGGTGACGGAACCGCTTAGCCACTGATGAGCCCTGAATTTAAACACTAATTTTATGCCTATAGATTTCCTTCAAAAACCCCTAGATAATCTTATTATTTATTTTATAAAAATAAATAATATTATTATTTAGTCAAATTAAGAAAAAAAAATTTTTTTAACAAGATCCAAACGTTGTGTAAAATCTCCTGGCTCTAAACTTGTACATAGAAGTCACGTCCATTCGTGAATTTATCTTGAAAATTGTTATTTGTCATCCATCATAATTTTGTAAAATATACTTTTTTTCTTCTATTATTACCTTTTCAAGAATTCTTTTGCTAGAATATAATGAATGTCAGTTCAGAAGTCATGTTATATTGTGTATTGTGACAAATATGCTAGAAGCATTTTCGAATAACAATTTCGAAAGGATGAATTTATAGCGCAGCATCTTTGAGTAGGTTAGGAATTTCTTACATAGTTTTTATTCTAAAAATAATAATAAAAAATTGACTCCATTTGCTTAAATATGTGCTCAAAAGTCATTAGTAACGATGGCCTAAAGTGTAAATTAAAACTATACATCCTTGAGGGATCCGAACTCATGCCCTTCTGGTTCGGTTTGATGGGAAGAGGCAGCGCAACACGAGGGGAGACTTTCTATAGGAAACTGGTCACTAAATAGGTGATAGAAAATCTGGAAACTTCACGTTGGCGAGGAGCGAACCCACGACCAGGTGTCCAGTGAGCCCTCCCGGGTGGACTTTCTATGGGAGACTTACCCTTATTTATATGTTAGAAAAGCCAAAAAATCCACACGATCAATCTGTTGGTTAGATGCGAACCCACTATTAGTGTTAGGTGGTGTTAACCATTATGCCAGGTGAACACCAAAACATTCTTTAATAGGTTTAATGCTACACAGTTAAGCTATATGAATATATCTATTATCTATTCTGTATTTTAACGAAACTCCCAAATGCTGCTAAATATAATATATTAATGTATATATATGTAAAGAACGTGGGTTCAAATCCAAAAATGGGATCGAACCCACGACTTTTGTAATGTCGTGTTTTCAACTCCATTTTGGAATTTTTCAGCATTGTTTTTCTTTTGATAAATATATAATTTCTACATTAAAACGTAGGGGAGATCGGGGCAACTTCGGCATGCGGGGCAAGTTTGTCAAGCGCTTTTTTTAAAAAACAAATTAAAAGGAGACTTTGGTTATAGGTTAGGCAGTTGAGTTTTATTGGTGGCTTGTTGAGTGTAGTGTTTTTATTGTTCTCCAACAAGCGTAGTTGAATTATCAAGCAAATTTTNTCAGATTTCAGAACTGTAAATTTTCATTTTCTGAAGGAAAAAATATTGTAATGATTGGTGAAATTCAAAAGTAGGAATGATGATGTAAATCATTGATTCCTTAAGTTTACCAACTTAAAAATAAAAACAATGACTGTTACTATAATTTTTCTAAATTACTTCCTATAAAAACTTCTCAGAATAAATACAGCAGCATCTACACTTATTTTTCTAAAAACAATCTCATCACCTGCAATTTGCATGAATAAAATTTTATTATTCTGCTAGAGAACAAACTCAACAAATAATTTCAAATAGTTTTTTTTATAAACTAAAAGTTAGTACATCAAACATATTATGAAGACATTTTTAACGTATATATAGATATTAAAAAAAAATATATATATAAATCAACATTATTTTCTTGCTTAAGTGACTTCACATATCAATTTTTCATAAAATTTAACATAAATAAAAAAATCTTTTTGGAAAATTTACCTTATAAGGATTTAACTAAGTCATATAAATATATGTAGCATAATTATCACAAAAAATAATAAAGTAGCAGAACAAACTACAATAAAAAAAACAAAAAACACACAACAAAAGAAATCTTGAAAATTTAGGAAAACACTGCAAAAATTCAAGCTTTATACACATTTTATCGTGCAATATAAATTAGCAAATATATTAAAATATTAATTTACAAATAAATAGTGATTATGATGAATAACTTTCATCTCACAAAATAAATTCTTTTCTCAAGATTTCAAATATCCTTTGTTTTTTTTATATATAAATTTTTTGAATATATTATTTACAAAATGTAGAAATTTGTTATTGTTTTTGATTTAACACATTTTCCTAATACTTCTACCTAATAAGATTTTACAATGCATATTGTAAACGATAATTTCAAATCTGCAAAAATATTTATATATTTTTGCAGAATATATTTTCTTCCTTAGAATGATTTTGTTCAATGAAATCACCTTAATTTTCATACACTGTAAAATATATATTTCTTTTTAAAAGTTAAAAAAAAAGTCATTTCTATTAAAGCATATTTTCTTCTCTCATTTGTCTTCTAATAATTCTCAAATTTTTCTTTTTTTATGTCCAGCCAAATTTTATTTAGCAAATAATAGTTTATATTTTCAAACAAAATAAATTTAATCAAGTTTCAATTAAATTTCAGATTCTCACCACTAGATAAACCAGATCTGTTGTCATTTGAATTCCAACCATGTCGAGATGTTTGTCCTCCCCAAGATGCAGTGTTCATGCCCTTTCCTTGTCCGGCTAATCCGGGTGGTGGACCTCGAGTTTTTGAGATTGCCGATCCCCACAATTCCGAACCCGATGCATTATCTGACATCAAAGGTCCCCAGCTAGGTTTAGAGCTGCCAGATTTTCCGGGCACTGCTGTTGCACTGCAGAAGAAAAAAAGAAAAAAAAACAAGAAAAGCATGTTGATACTAATTTTGGTTATATCAAGATGTAATATGATAATTTCAAATAATGTTACCTATTATGTAAAGAAGCAGAAGTTGGTGGTGTGAAAGCCCACGTACTTGATGTTAAGGTGGCAAGTGATGAAACTAAGCTATCTGTACTACTTGCTGTCACAGGACTGCTTTTTGATGTCCAATTGAACAAATCTGTATCTTTAATAGTGTTAACTGATAGTGGAGATCTTGCCACACTTCCAGGAGTAATGTGTGGATCATCTTCAACATTTTTCATCTGAGAAGTTCCTTTCCAGGGCTTACCAGGTTCAAATTCAGGTACCAAATCAGTTAAATTGTAAGTTGGATGAGTAGTAGTACTACTAGGAGCCACAGGAGTTTGTGGGGCAGAAGAGTCTTTATTTTCACAAGTAACAGCGCTACCATTATTCATATTGCAATTAGTTATTGTCGTAGGAACGGATCCTGGATTATTTCCAACATTGTTGTTATTGCCACTTGTATTGTTTCCAGGGACACTAATGGCCGAATCTGGCCAACCTCCCATATCATTTTGATTACGTGGCAGAGTTGACCATGCACTTTCACCTTGGCTTAGTAATGGATGTAAATTTGAACCTGCATGAGAGGAGGAAGAAGAAAGACCAGATGATTTAGATAAAGATCCTGGTGCACGACTAAAATCTGCAGGACCATTGTTCACATTATTATTGCCACCACCTGAGTTACTAGTAGGAGGAGTATCATCTTTTTCAAATGATGGAAGTTTCCATTGAGTCAATCTTGATTGAGGCTGAGGAGTACTATCTTTCAATGATAAATCTCGAAAATCAGCGTGTAGTCCAGACATTGGATCTACATTTGGCTTAAAAATTTCAGAGGACGGTTGAGGTGTATGTAATGAAGGATGACCAGGAGTATGATGTTGTTGTTGCTGAAAATATATATTCTTAATATAAAATAGTTTAAAATTACTGTATATACCTGATTATAAGACAATATTTTTTCATGTAACAAATCAACCAATTTTAAATTTTAAACTGGTAAATTTTATCATCATTTTCACATTTTCCCAAATTGCCTTTTTTATAATAAATATTTCAGTTAATGAATTAGACAAATATTAGTTCGTCTACTGTAAAATAAATTATATTTTAATCACAAAAAATTATAGTCTTCAAATTTAGATTACATATATGCATATAAACACTAAACTTTGAATGCTATTTCATAATTACTTTATAATAATAAATCTGGATATAAAGAATTGCTGAAAAACCACCAAATTACTTAAGCCAATATATGCATTTTTTTCCCCAAACTGATTATAATCTTATCACACATTATTCATGAACTCAAAACTTTTATTTAAAAAAAATTATAAATGTCAAAATATAATTTTAAATATCATACTACATCAACAAGAGTTAGGGTAGTAATCATTGCACAAATTAAGAAATTTAATTTTTTACATTTAAAGTTATATAATTTTATGACCAGATGATTATTGTGATACAAGTAGCCAGTTGGCTATACTCCAAAGACCTAAATTTGCATCAAGAACAGCCTCTCAAAAATTTTCACAATAAATTTGACTCATACATTACTGGTCCATTGCTCACCATTCATTTGCTTCAATGTGGGCACAACCAAGACTGTAATCACCATGAAAGAAGCTCTCTGAAATCACAGGGAGCAAAGTTGGAAAATGGGAAACCATTGTAATAAGCCTTTCATTTAATTGTACTTAAAATGCCCACAACTTCAGAATTATCTCTAAAATACATGATCCACTTGATGGTTATGTAAAAATTACAAATAAAAAAATAGCAATTAGTTTTGTTATTTCAGTTTGAGTTTTAAGAATTTTTTGAACTTTTAAGTTAACAGTTAAGTTATGACTAAGATAATGTTCAACTGAAATATTTGTTACCAAGTAATGCACTAATAAATAAACCAACTCCATAGTTTGAAAAATTATTATTATTCCAGAATCACACACACTCATTCACAATTATCACAATACTGGTATAATTGTGTCATTTTATTTAAAAAAAATATATATATTTATCAATTTGTTATTCTTTAATTACAATGCTTACAAAAAACTTTTATACATGTTCCAACATAATCTGAAACAGAATTGTTAGTCATTCTAGATAATACAAATGTAATAAAATTTCTTTAAACTGCAAACTTAATCTTACTTAATTTTCTTTTTTTTTACTACTTTTGAGAAAAAGACTTCAATCAGAATAAAACGTAGAAATAACAAGAATTCAAAAATTACACACGAAGAAAAATTAACCAATTTCTTTTAAAGGGGGAAAAACTTTTGCAATATAAGAAAGCCTATTTCATAAATTAAAAAATTCCTGTCTGATTTTAACAGTTGCAAAAAACAGCTTAGAAATAAAACAGGAATTTCCCAAATCTTAACTTTAAACTGGATTAATATAAAAACAATCAGAAAAAGTTCAAAAACCATTGAAATTAACAGTTCAATTTCTCTAACATCTATATTATCCATTTGAAAAATGTCCAGATCAAAACTTTCTTTACTATTTTTAAATATATCTCAAAATCTCTTTCATTTTAATTAATTCCTTTATTTAAATTATAGTTTAAAAGACCTGAAATATTTCTAAAAACTAGAAAATGTTAAGCAGATCAATTCCTGAGACATCATATGGCTACCAAAAAATATCCAGTCAGTCAAGTTCATATTTAACTGTTAGACCAATTATAGATAAATATGAATTTCAGCAACAGTTACATGCTAAAAACATATGTATTTATATTCTAAAAAATTTATTTTTGCTCCACAAGACAAACTGTATATTGTAGAACAGTTGTTGTTTCAGAAGAAACATTCAAAATGCATACAAAAAATGAATGACACACAAAAATCAGATTATAGATGTCTGAAGATGTTAGTTAAGAATAAATATATACAGCCAAAGAACTTTTACATTCTTATCAGATAATATTTACTTAAATCAGTGATGGATTATTGCAAAGACACACAGGCATATGCTTTTGTCTCCTCTTGTACATAAGTACCAAATAAAAAAATATGTACATAAATAAAAATAAAAAATTATATGGTGATAACTTATAACTTTGTACACAGTATGCATGTATACATGTGGATAAGTAAGGATTACACCATATTATTGGCACTAGTGGTAGCAACATTTATAATCACTTTAGTAGAATACATTAGTGCACTTTGTCTTGTTACTCCATTTCAAACATCATTTGATATTTGGAGCATAATCATCAGTGGAGCTAAGAATCACTGAAATTGTGTCCTGTTTGACAAGGATAGATTTTTTTAAACATTTTACCGTGTTCTTTACCTCTGCTTTTTAGTAATAATATATCTTATGTATAATAAATCTATTTCTTTCATTTTCTAATGTTTATCAAGCTATTTTGAATTCACACTTACAGCCCTGATTTAATTGCAATTACATTTTACATTACCCATTTTTTTACTTAATGCTTCTTCTGTTTTATCTCATATTTAACGTAATAATGAATAATGTAATTATATTCAAGAACAATGGTACACTTTTATTATTGAAATTTCTAAAGAGAACTCTTCATTGTATAGATCTATATCTTTGTCTGCAGCTACACTGAAATTTTTTTTAAACTATGCTTGTATTTATTATCCAGTCATGAACAATTAAACTCAATGATGTGGCATCCAACTTTGATCTAACTTCACTAACTTATTTTCTATTAAACTTGAAATAGTTGGAGTTTTGAGAGTAAAAGAGGTTTGCCTGTTGTATACGTTGACATCAATCAAGCATTTGACTGAGTTGCAATTTTCAAAATGAAAACCTACACATTCTCACTGTCTGTCTGTCCTTTGTTGATCTCAAAAATGGAGTTAGATAGATAAAAATCAAGACTAGATATGGAAATATTAGGGGCTGGAGGCCCCAATTAACTGTGTGTACTTCTGATCTAGATCAGAAATCAAATTATTTTAATTCAAAAATTTTCAAGCACAGAGTTAGATAAATGGTCAGCATTACTGAATTGTTATCAGGAGAAGTATGATTTACAGGGGTAAAACACCATTAAAATTCAGACCAGACATGGAAAGTTTATGGCCAGAGACCCTGATTAAATTTATATGAACTTTCTTTCTGGACTGGAAGTCACATCATTTTTTAAAAACTGCAGCTGGCATTGTGACGATATCACAATAACTAATTGCTCATTCAGTTATACCTTCTCAACCTACTGTTTTAGCTTGGTTAAATAATTACTTTTTATTACAATCTTGATAAGTTAAACTAGAAGACTTCTCATTTAGTATTTTCTCAGGAATTATTATATATAGCCTCTTTTTTTTTTTTTTTAAATCATTTATTTGAATCTTGCTATTCCTTATGTTAACTCTAAAATTATAGCTTATGCTGATAATCTAAAAGCCAACTCACGAAGGAAATTTACAAGCTGATCTAAATATTTTAGTCACCTCCCTCAAGTCTTTCAATCTCAAAATTTTTCTATTCAAAACAGTATCTGTGTTATTCATTACTAAGGAGTCCAAATTATTATATATTTTACATCTATAGGCAGAGAATTAATTATGCTCATTCTTATAAAATTCTAGGAGCAATTTTCAACTAAAAATTTATTGTTAATCATCAGATTGCTTACTATTTTATTAACATAACTAACAGAAGAAAATCTTGTGGCATCATTGCAAAGTTAATTTCATCACATATAGTTTTGAGATCTTTCATTTTCACTAATTTTCAATCCTAGGTCAATTATTGCTTGCATGTAAAGTCTAATGCTGACAACAAAACCACTTTCAGTAAATTGCATTTATAGCATTCACTAAAAACTGGTTTTCCAAACCAGTTTTGAACAGGCAATGATAGAAGTATCATTATTATGAATCATTTTCTTTACTTTTTTGACTTTTATTGATAGCGAAGTATGCTTTGATTTAAGATGATTCAATATAATTGATGTACTAACAAAAAACTTTAATGTAACATTACAATTTGTACACTGAACCAATTAATCACCCTTGACTTTTTTAAAATAACATCATGTGTAACTCATTTAAATTCAAAAATTAAAAGATAATATAGAATCAGCAGAAATTAATTTTAATATGATAGTTTTCAAATGCTATTTGTTAAATACTTAAACTCCATTATTTACCAGCATCAAAGAAACACTGACTCTTCTTTATGGTGGGAATAAAACAAGATATAGCATATTCATCAATCTTGGCTAAAATTATTTACTATAAAACTTCATTAATAATAATAATAAAATATTGAAATTTTCTTAAAATTAATAAAATAGAATAATAAAACATTTCTGGTTTTTGCCAGAATTAGTATGATCAACAGCAGTTCCATCACTTCACGACAAGATCTCTAAAGCAATCTTTTGCACAACAAACTGGATCACTTGTCTTAGTAGGACAACACAAGAAATATCTAATTTCCCAAATTCTCTTCATGCGTTAATTATTTTGACCAGTTATCAGTAAACCATTGAAATACTTGTTGATCTCCACAAAATACTTTTATTTGTATTTCTCCTAAGATCAACTAAAAATTTATCTTGTTTGTCATTTCCTAATTTCACTTTTTTATCCAGACAACCACTCTTGTGATGTTATAGCAAATTGAAACCAAAAAATAAAAAGGATTCCATATTTAATCTATTTTAAATTAAGTGTAAAAAAATAGTTTATAATTTGTCAATTTAATTCTTTAATATATAAATTTTTATACACTATACATATTTATAAATTTTACACAATTTGCAAATTTTTATAATTTATATATATATATATGTGTGTGTGTGTGTGTGTTCTTATTGCTGTTTGTTATTTGCCTTTTTGTAAAGTTTTGTTTTTATGACATTCTATTAAGAATTGATGATATAGTTGTTCTG